CTGTGTGGTCTTGTTCCCTGGCGAGCCAACCCACGAAGGGTGCAGAGACTCCCTGCTCCTCTGATTCAAGCAACCAGAGGAGGGTCTGGGGATGAATCTGCATGGGTGGAAGAAACACCTAGAAGGGAGGAGCCCAAGAGGCGATGGATGGCAAAGCACGATTCCTTCTCTATGGAGGCCTGACCATTTCACCAGAGCTCAGGTTCACAGCAGTCCTGTCCAAGCCCACTTCCCCATCATGCCTGCTGCAATTTGAGAAAGGTAGAAGGTCTGATTCCCCAAGCAAACCCATGTTTTTGTTCTTTTTCAAATTGTTAAATAATTTCAATGTGTTTTATGCTCTCTCTGTACGTGTGCATACATGCTTGTGTGTGTGTGTGTGTTCAGATGACCATTTGACACAGAAAAGAGTGACAGAAGAGCTTTTACGTTGCCTTTGGGAGAGAGAGAGAGTTGGGTTGGGGTGGGGCCCTGCTACTTGGGAATTCATGAAGCGCTGGATGTCAGCCGGCTGCCTTTAGGTGCCGACGGGCTGAAGGGCTTTAGTTTAAGTATCAAGGTAGCCAGCCCTGCACTGAAGTGTCTGTGTTCTTGCCAATTGCATTACCCTGACCATAGCCCACAAGCCTGGTCCTTCTAGGAATAAACTGAGGGCTGGCTAAAGGGCCACCTCTCAGCCGAGCCATTGCACACAGCATGTGTGCATACATACACATATGTATTTGTGTTATGCAAGGTTGCCTGTGGGGTGTGTGTGTTACTTGAGGTTGAACCAAGACCTAACACATGCTAAGCAAGTGCTCTATTGCTGAGCTGTACTTTGTATTTTGAGACATGGTCTCACTAAGTTGCCCAGACTGGTCTTGAACTCGTCATCCTCCTGCCTCCTCCTCCTCCTGTCTCTGGGATCTTTGTATGAGCCACTGCGGCTAGCTGCCGGGCCTTTCCTACAGAGAATGTTTTCTGGCATTGCAGGCCTTGAGTCCATACAGAGTTACCCGCACCACAGGCTACTGTAGCCCACTGCATCCCATGGTGTCCCTGACAGACTTGGGACTAGGGGCCTTTGCCCATTCCCCGAGTCCCCCACACAGCCTTCTCGTTGCCTCTATTCCTGATGGCCACACATCCGTGTCCATGCAATGTAGCATGGGCCGTGACTCATTGAGGCTGCTCAGTTAACTTGGAGAACTGAACTCCCCGCGCAGGCAAGCCAGGACATTTTGTGTGTGACCTTGACCTTGAGTCTAGCTCTCTGCCTACACTCTCCCTGTGTTCTGCTCTGCCCAGCCTAGTGGAGTTGACAAATGAGTGCACGCTGATGGCTTCAGAAATACACTGGGAGTGGAGATAACAGACAGAGGGAGCAAACGAGCTTGAGTTTTTCAGGGGTGAAACAGAAATTACTTGTAAAAACTTAACAGCCCCTGGATAAGCTGACATTCTTTCCCACCGTGGGACACTGCTGCCATCTAGTGGTAAGTCTGAAACCAATAAGGTATGAAATCTTGTCAAGATACATAAAAATCTCACCCTTAAAATCCTGCTATTCAAAGGGCTACACGGGGTTGACAATCACAGAAACATTGTCATTAAGTGCAAAAAAAAAAAAAAGTGTTCATTTACTCCTGCCATGCACATTATAATAAAAGATGACAGACCAGGGTGAATTGCAAACATAAACCCAGACCGCAAAACAATACCGTAGGCAAGGAGCGGTAGAGACTGCAGTATGCACGTACCTTTGTTTGCACCGTGGATGCTAATTGTTCCAGAGCTGCAATGAGCATCTCGGATGCTATTGTCCCTGGGCTATTAGGGTGGGCTTCCTAACTTCAGTATTCAGGGGCCCACAAGATAGAGAGAAGAAAAGACATGCATCTTTATTTTCATGAGTCTCAAACAAGCGTAGTACAGTCTTCAATAATGAGCTAAGCAAAAATTCAGTTCTGGCCTTATCTGTGGAAGCAGAGCTACGTCTCCACTAATATGTACAAACAAGGCCGTGTCTGTGACTGTTTCCTGTGCACAAGTCAGGAAAGGGGCCTATGGGAAAGAATCAGAGAGGATAAAAGCTGAATGAAGCAAAATAATGTCATTTTAGCAAGATTTTTCTTCTGACAGGAAGGAACCTCTGACCTACAATTTGTCCTGCCTGCAAGATGTGCTGGGGTGAAAGCAGCATAGAAACTGTGGGAATGGCGAACCAATGACGGGTCCAACTTAAGACCCAAGCCATGAGAAGAAGCCCACGCCTGATACCATCTGGATGGCCAGGACCCAGAGGCTGGATAGCTCAGAGACCTAGGATAGAACCAAACACGACTGGAAAAAAGAAATGCTTCCTAATGATATTCTGCTATTCTCATAGACAGAAGCCTAACAATCATCATCAGAGAGGCGTCACCTAACAACTGACAGGAGCAGATGCAGAAAGCCACAGCCAAAAATTAGGCAGAACTTGGAGAATCCCAAGAAAGACCGGAGGAAGGAATGTAGGAGCCAGAGGGGTCAAAGACACAAGAACACAGCCCACAGAACCAACTAACCAGGGCTCATAGGGACTCAGACACTGACGGGACAGTTTTGGAGCCTGTATGGGTCTGACCCAGGTCTTCTGCGTATATGCTATGGTTGTGTAGCTTGTTCTTGTGGGACTCTGAGCAGTGGGAGCAGGGGCTGTCTCGACTCTTTTCCTGCTACTGGGTTACCTTGTCCAGCCTTGACAGGAAGGGACGTGCCTAGGCTTAGTACACCTTGTTATGTGTGTTCTGTTGCTATCCCTGGGAGGCCTGCTCTTTTCTGAAGGAAAATGGAGGAAGGATGGATCTGGGGAGAGGAGAGATGCAGGAGAGGAACTGGGAAGAGAGGAGGGAGAAGAAACTGCAGTATGAGAGAAGAAAAATATATATGTATTACATATTTTATTAATATTTTATTACATATATTAAAAGTGTGGTGGCACACACTTTTAATCCCAGCACTCAAGAGGCAGAAGGAGGAGGATCTCTGCGAGTTCAAGTTCTGGTTGAACTGGTCTACAAAGCAAGTTCTAGGATAGCCATGGATACACAGAGAAACTGTCTCTAACAGTGTATGTACGTGATACCACATGCATGTAGTGATGGAGCAGATCAGGAGAATTGGATCTCTGGAACTGGAACCATCTCTCCAGCCCATTACCATCTGTTTTTAAAGCATGTCTGTTGCTTTCTTAAACTGTCCAAGCCCCCCTGGCAGAATGGGGCACACCTTCTTTTCTTAGCTGAGGGATGGTGGCACTGCTGGCAGCCTGCCGCTGCCAACCCAGAAGGCCCAGTGTCAGTGAGAGGGGACAGCCTTTGGTCTGACTGGTGTTGTGTAACTTATGACTGCATCTGACATGAATGGCTCCTTGGTTCTCCCTTGAGAAGCCATTCATTCGCCCATTCATTCAGCATAGAAATGAGGAATGTCAGAAATAGAGATCCTTTGATCCCTGCTCCCCAGGAGTCACAGGGAAGGGTCTTTATGGCCCAGCAGTTTCAGTGAGGAGCTGGCAGGCCCTTTAGCCCTCTGGGTAGCGGATGACTATTCCGCACAAACCATACTACCTGAGGGACTGTAGTTTCATCTTATATGACAGGTAAGTAAGCGCACAGACGCACGGGTGCACACACGCATGTACCGGCCAGAGGTCAAGCTCAGGTGCTGTTCCTTGGGGAAACCACCTTGTCCTTTGAGACACAGGCTCTGTGACCTGGAGGCTGACTGGCCAGAGAGCTCCATAAATCCACCTGCCTCTGTCTTCCCGTGTCAGGGTAACAACTGCACACCACCAGGAGTGTGTTGTTGTTTATTTATTCACTTTACATCCAGATCGTAGGCCTTCCCTCCACCACAACGTCTTCGTGGGTGCTTAAGACCAAGCCCGGGCCTCACACTGACTAGGCACACTTCACCAACTTACCTCTCCCAGTCCTGGTTTGCCCTTATTTTGTTAATTTTCCTAACTCCTTTGTGGCTTCTTAACTCTCTTCTTAGTTATTCTTCAGATGAGAAATTAAAAATTTAGAACTTCACACACAAGGCCTGATTCCAAACCTCAGCTCATCCTTGATCCTTGCACCAGGCTGCCTCTCCTGGCGATAAGGCAGACCACAGATGCCCCTGTAGTGTTCACCAGCTGAGAGAGTCAAGCCTTGCCTAGGGAGGGTGTGGGGGTGTGCAGTGCGACATGGTATCCCTAGTGTCCCAGACCCTCTCCCTGCAGGAAAGGCAAGCAGGGACAGGACCACAGGGGTAAGATGAAGTCTGAACAGCCAGCCGTGGAGGAAGCAGCCCATCTCGCCTGTTTAATGGTCCAGTTCTATCTTTGCAGGACCTTCTCTCTGTTCTTGCTGACTCCCCAGCTGCCAGACAGTAAGATTTCTCCAGCTGTGTGTGCACTCCTAAGATCCTTTCAAGGCCCTCTACATGAAGGGCCAGTCCACAGCCTAAAGGTCTTTGGTGAGGGGGGAGGAACAGGCAGAAGGAAGTGTGTCCTTTTCAGAATGCCAGGGAGACTGCTCTGATGCATGGACCGGGGTCTGCTCCAGCAGTGAAAGTTACAAGACTCAGGGAAAACGCTGTGTTTGCCTACCTAGAGAGTGCTGTCACAATCCCACTCTGGCTGGAGAAAGAAGATTCAAAAGTGAGTTCATTTAGAATAAAAAAAAAGGCTTAAAGGGGAAAGAGACTCCAAAAAGTAAGAATCTATTCTGCAAAAAAGGAGCTCACAGCTCACAGCTCCTGGGAAAAAGGCAGGCAGGTATAAATGCTGTTTAACCGAGCCTTCGTGTGGTGGGGAAAGGCTGTGAGGACAGAATCAGCTGCTCTTTTTTTTTTTTCCATCAGTTTTATTGTCAGATAGCCAGAGTTCATTATATAAATCTTTCAAAATAATTAGATATTACAAGAATAGTTTACAAGTCAGCTCTGATTGCACAAATACTTGACACAAGAAACTGTCTTACAAATACTGAAGGTTTCTTACAAGAATATTTTAATAAAGAAAATAAGTCTCTATACATCTTAAAGCAAATTTGATTTAGTTTCTTTTTCCGATCCCACCATCATTCTGGATTCTGTTTTACAGTATGTCTATCACATCCCACAAAGCAAATTACAACTCATGGTGCCTCTCTTTCAGCTACTACTGAGATTCACAATGCTAAAGGGCTTTAGGCTTCCTTTTCTGACCTTCCCTGAAATAAAAAGAATTCTCATATTCAGGCTTAAAGAGGTAATTTTAAAAACATTCCTTCGAAACTTGGGTGAGGTTAATCACCATTCTGAGTGACAATCTTTTCAGGTCTCACTCAAGCTAGAGCAGCTGATAGTTTATACCTGCGGTACCAAGCCAAGAGTTCATAAACCGTGAAGGGAGTCCTGGGAGCAAGGATGAAATACAAGGATTAGAAAAGCTCAAACAGTGGATAGTGATTAGAGAACACACTCAAATTCAAGGTCTCTCCCAGGTTGAAAATGAAGTCTAGAGCATGGCAGTACTTGTATAAAATACCAGAGATCTGAAAAAGGCTAATTATTTAGGTGAGTAGTGTCTCCTTATTTCCAGAATGCCAATGGAAATGGAATCTTAGACAGATGCTGCATCCACTGAACTCAATAGGTAACATTCTTCTTATGCTGCTGCTTTAATATACACTATTATACAACCAAGTTCCCAGAGCAAGTAATGCTATATGCCAGGGGAACAGAATAGTGAGCCACCAAGAAAAACATGTGGCTTTCACACTGTCCCTCCATTGTTACTGTGTCCTTGGCAAAGCATACTGTCTTTACTTTTCCATGTAGAATGAATTAACATCAAGAAGTGGAGTGGCATTCTACAGTCAAGTCCTGAGAGCTTGGGAATACCCCATCACCCTTGTCTACATGTCACCCAGCTCTTGTCCGACAAGTTTACAAGCAGTCTGGGACCAAGGCACAGCCCAATTCTCTCCCATTCCTCTGGCTTCCTCCTCACCCAGCGTAACACTGCCACAGGATCTTACCAAAGGTTGCAGCAGGAGATGGAAATGAGTTCTTTTGCATTACCAGACACCTTCCTTCACATTATCAAGGGTAACGTTTGCACATAATGAAAGAGCCAAATAGTGTCTACTGCAGTGATTTTGCAAATTCAGCATAGTCGATGTATCCATCATTGTTCACGTCATCATCTCTCAAAACGCCATCTATTATGGTAATCAGTTCCTTTTCGCTCATTACTGGTGCGTGTTCGCTCCCCTCCTACCAATCAGTAAACAAGATAACGAGGTACAGAATTACAAAGGAGCATTAGCAAATGCCTAAGAGGTCTGCTTATCTAGCAGCTTTCAAGGTAATAGCGGCCACTTCTAGGAATACACTCATCTGTCAGCGTCAACTCAGAAAACTCCGAGTGAGAAACTACATATGCCATTTACAAGAAAGATGTGACCAAAACAGGTTTACTCTTTTGTAGTTACAAAGTAATGCACAGTCAGTGCAGAAAGCTGGGTGTGGACTCCAAAGAACTGTTTGTCGGAGTCTACGACCTCTACACCATCCTAAGAGCTCATCACCTGAACCCCTCTGGAGGGTCATCCTGATGCACAATTTGCCTAAGGAAATGTGAACAGTGACATATTGGACACCTGGGGACAGAACAAGAAAACACTGCCAAGCATGCCAGCCACTGTTCTGTCTTAGAAGCTGGTGGAGGAGGACTGTGCCCACTGCAAAGCTCTGGACAGTCACACGGCGACCAGCTCTTCCTTGGCTGCCTCTCCCACAGCTATGATTTCCGCAGCTCTGTGGCCACCACTCTCACAAGCCAGGCCTGCAGAATCCTAAACCCTCTTTTGACACCAGTTTCACCTCCACCACTCCTCACACATGGGGTCCCCCAAACAAGGCTCCAGTTAAAACTGGCTGGTGCTCCCTATGCCTACAGAGCAAACCAACCCTGAACTGATCTTCTGGTAGCCCCCCCCACCTTCACTCCCGCACCCCACCACCTGAGGCAGAGGAGAAGACAAGGATGTCGATCTCAGTTCCCTCAGCTGGATGATGGGGAGTAAATCTGCTGACTCAGGCTGCTGTGGAGCCGACACATCTCTGTTTGAACATGCCTTAGGACACTGGGGAGCACTGCACAGTATGACACAACCCACGACTACTTCCGAAGCTCTGTCCCTCTGTCCTGCAGTCACCATTCTCCTCAAATGAAATGACCTCTTTCCTGTGCTCTGCATCATGGCCCTGGCTTGTTTTTCAGGCTGGACCCTCAAACTCCAGCGAGAGTAGAAATGCCGAAGCCCTGGCCTAAACAGGCTCAGCCTGTCTGGGGCAGGGAGTGGGGATGGGAAGAGGTGGGTTACACAGTAAGGGGAAGAAGTGTGGCAGCACTGCTGAGGCATGAGCACAGCGCAGGCCACCACACTGGCACCAATCTCCCCAGACACCCCAAACTGAAGTCCCCACCTACCTCCTTATGGACATGAGTGATGGCAGTGGAGAGCTCTAACCCGTCAAGCAAATTGTTGCCATCGTAGTCATGCATTTTGAAATAATGGAGCTGCAGTTCTTGCGGGGACATCTCCTCCTCTGGCCTATTGATGACACCGTCCAGATGTTCCAAGATATGTCTGAAAAGTGACAGTAAGACCATGCCAAAACCTTCTTGTGAAGACTGCACTCAGCTCAGAAACAACCCACATTCAAGGACATAGCAACAGCTAGGGCCACAAAAGGGGCGGGGCCAAAGCATAGTGGGCCAGCTACTGCTGGCTGGGACTGAGGCACTAAAAAAGTGTCCTGTCAGAATCAGGTAACCGTAATCATATTCTGGATTCTGTTACTATGGCTATATTAGGTGGGGGAGGGATGAAAGAGGAAGACTAAATTCTGACAATTAATTCACTGTGTTTAGGCTTTAAGGTCCTCCACCTATGAAATGATGAAGACAGATACCTTAGTACTAGCAGTCCCAAGGGATAAGTACCATCCCTGAAAAGTGTCCAGGAGCCCTATAGATTGCTAGGAAAGAAGGTGGGGGTGCCCTGTGGGCTCTAACTGCAGGTGATGGCCTGGAACCCTGGCCCCAGCTGAATACATACTCTTGGTCGTGCACCGTGCTCTTGTCCAGGCCCAAGCTGCCATGATGGACGCTGGCCCCATGCTCCTGGGTCCTGGCACCCGGGGCACAAAAGGCCCAGAACAGGACACACAAGAAGGGAGCTCTGAGAAGCCGCAGGGGTGTCATAGTTACAGGTACCTGGGAGGTGGGAAACACAGAAGGTGAAGACACAGCACCAGAGCTATGGTCCCTTCCAAGAGCTGACAATGCACTGGGAAACCTGGGGTGGGTGTTGGGGGAGCAGTGAGGTTGCAGACAAGAGCACTACAAACTGGGCCTGAGGGAGCTCAGTGGTAGAGAGCCCAGCACACACAAGGTGCTGGGCTCCACTCCCAGGACCACAGAAAAAGTCAGCCTGGTGGGGTGGTGGCAACAGCACACATCTTTAATCCCAACATCTGGGAGGTGGAGGCAGAGCAAGGGAGATCTAGCTAGAGGCTAGCCTGGACTAAGAGAGATAGCACCAGGATAGCCAGGAACACACAGAGAAGCCCTATCTCAAAAAAAGCAAAAGAAGAAAAAAATGAAAAAGCCCAGCTCTGCCACTAGCTGTCCTGCTTCCCATTACTCAGCTAAGCAGCAGAGGTCCACAATGTTTTCTGATAGAATGTCAGAGGGCTGAGCAGTCATCCGAGTGCTTAAAAGAATCCAAAGACTAGGATCCTATAAGCCACAGCCCACACACGCTTTCTACTGGAGTACAACATAAGCAGAATGAGGAGCTCAAAAGAGAAAAGGCCTTTGGGAGTCTGAAGTAACTTCCTTGGGTGAAGGAATATCGGAGAAGGCTGACAGACACAGTGATGCTTCAGCCAGGCTGGATGGACAGCAGGAACACTGGGTCTGGGGGAAGATGACAGCCAAGCGGGACCAGGTACAGGCAAGCAGGACCAAGCCCAGCAAATCTGGTCTCTCAGGTAGGCAGCATGGGCAGCAGCAGGTGCAAAGGAGAGCAGACAGCACATGCTGAGCCAAGAGGACAGCATTTCCTGAGAACAAGTGGGGAGCAACTGACGAGTACAAGAGATGAGGCCACAGATTGGCATGGCTTTGGACATACTCATCTGTCGGCTTGATGGGAACGGGTAGAGTAAGACAGGACTGGAGACAGGACCATGGAAGCTGAGGGAAGCCATCAGGCTGGTCATGTCAACCTCAAAGCAGTGATGTGGAGGAGACCATCATTCCCGCCTCGTCCACCTGCCAGGGGCTCATAACTTAGGCATGCTGGGAACATTGAAAAGGAAAGCTACAGAGAAATTCACAACACATCCTAATGACATTTGGAATTAAGATCAACAAGACAAGTCAGCCACCAGCAAGCTCCCTGAAGACCAACTTACATTGTATCACAGGAATTGTCACCACAGCTTACGTGGCCTTCAACAACTGCTGGCTTCACACAAAGTCCTGTCCTTTCTGGGCTTAGATTAGAGACTTACCTCAAAATGGAAGGTGAAAGACAGCTCAGGACCTTAATCACAGCCTGTGTCCTCATCTCCAAAGGCAGAGCCAGTTCCGCCATGACTAACAGTAGCAGGACCCCAAGCCCTCAGCAGTAAAGACAAAGCATAACGTTCAGCCCCTCCTTAACATTGGCTAATCTCAGAGCATAGCTCTGAAGCCTCCTTGTGCCAGGAGCTGGGAAGCAAAGGCACTATAGCCTTCAGCCATCCTAAGCTCTCAGGGAGCTTATGCTATAACATTTGCAAAGATTTCCCTAACCTATTTAGCCTGTCTTCTACCACCTGTCCCCATGAATGAAGCAGCAACCACTGGGAGGGGTAACTTACAGGGGACTTAAAAGCAGTATCTAGCCTGACTGCTGTGCAATGGCATCATGCAATCTGTCATTCTGCATAAGATTTCTAATATAGATTAAATGAAAAGGCAGGTGGCAAAAATTTTCACCACTGTAAAATAAATACATATGCACAAACACAAAGTTTTAAATTATAAGATTAGGAGTCATTGTGATTCTTTTTATTTGTCTACGATTCTAAAATGTGTATTATTACTGGGCATGGTGGGTGCACCCCTTCAAACCCAGCACTTGGGAAGCAGAGACAGGCAAACTGTGAATTTGAGGCTAGCCTGGTCTACATGTGCATTAAGGCCATGTTGATTTCAGGTGTCTTCCATACTTGCTCTCTCCTTTATGCTTTGACAGGGTCTCCCTCTGCACCCGAGCTTGCTGACTCAGATATTTAGCTAGTGACCTGGCTTCTCTGCTTCCCAAGCACTTCGACTAGACGCACTGACACATGCAGCTGACGTTTACATGGGTGCTGGGAATGCATGCCAGTCCTCAAGCTGGTTACCCTCTGGACCACCTCCACAGCACACAGCCAAGCTCTGATATCAGTGTAATGGAGGGCAGAACCTTGAACTGACTACTAGACAGAAAGTGATCACTGAATCCATGGCCTTCCCCTCTAACAACATGGCTGGACCCAGCTGGGGTGTGTGTCTATGGGGATGTTTGCTACTCAGGTAATAACAAAAAGTAACCAACAACTAATAAATACAGGACCTGTAACTCCAGCTTACCCTTTCCCAAGGGACACAGCATAAAAGCCAAGAACCACCGAGCATACAGCAGCAGGTTCCTAACCATCAAAGCACAACAAATGCCAGCCCCTGCAAATCAGAAGATCCCACAAGTACTGTAGTGACAAGAGCTAATGACTGCCACTTGTCAAATTAAACTGTCCAGTCAAAAGAAAAGAGAGTACTCCATCCTGACCAAAAAACAAGTTGCATCATCCATACTCCAATTACTTAGTTCAAGCCATGGGCACACAGCCTGGAAGATAAGCCACAAGAGTTTCCAAACTCAATGGCCTTCAGGAAACTTCACAGGCCAAGCTTGAGAAAACTCCAGGTGGGGAGACTGACTGGTGGCTGCTTTTCCTTTTCTAAAGACAGGCAGACTCCCATGTATAGAGAGCCTCGTTTTGATGTTTCTGGAGCCTGGGAAACTTGACTGTCCTATGCCCTCCTATAAAATGATTTATTCTAGGTTAGCATATTACTTATATACTCTTGACTGAAGACTAGTCTCCATCTTTTGGGGAAGGTCATCGTCACCAAAATGCGAAGCTCTGGGGGATACACACAAAGAGCAATGAAGAAGGAAATGCCTTATTAACCCTGGCCATCAGGGGGGTAAGCGCTGCTGCAGCAGATCACCTTCCAGTCCAGAGGGGGCTCTGGAAAACAACCCATGTGTTAGCATTCATCACAAGGAGCTGCCCGGGTCTGCCAGCAATGCTGGCCTCCCTCAGAGCTTTGACTTCAACAAGGCTCCACGCACTGCTGCTCCCTTCCTACTGACTGACGCAACTGGCTATCCCTTCTAGGCCCGGTGCAAATGTGACCTAAAGACTCTGGCAGATCACACTGCTTTCTTCCTTGTCTAACCATTTCTTCCTTCCTGTTCTTTTTCCTCTTTCCAAAAGCCAGGACCTTGTATTCTCTGAACAATGCTGAGCTGGCCTAGGAACCAGCACTGAATAAGATGAGATTTAGCACAACAATGTGTCAGTCTTTATCTCTAGGCTTGAACTTTTTCCCACTCCCGGGAAGGGCTTGGCCCACCCTTCCCTCACTTTATCTCATAATTCCTGTCGGTGAGAGAGTTTTCCTCCTAGCAGCTGTTGGCAGCTTTTTTCTAAGTCCAAGGGTTCTTAAGAATTTACATTCAAAGCAGCCACATTTAACAACATCCAGACATCCTGTTCCCAGAGCCAATGCCAATGAAAACTGACCAGAGTTTTGCCATCTCCATATTCTTGAAGTAAAAGCAGCCAGTTAAATCTCCAGGTTAAGGAAACCTCTACAGGGGCTGAGGCTGACAACCTGCCCTAAACAGGTTGGTGTTTAACAGTCTGAGCTATCTGTTCATTGGGGGGAGCCCAAGAAAAGCCACACTACCCTTATACAGTTAACTAAAAGCCTAGTAACAGGAAGAGCAGCACTGAGAAGGCTGTGAGAAAAGCGCTGTTGCCCGGCAGGACTCTTCTCTCACAGGTCACGGCCTAACGCAAACAGAGGCCACTAAAGGGACACCCAAGGGCTATCACATAAACCCCCACCCACACTTGGAATAACACAGGAGGGAAGAGATATTTCAACCAAAAAAAAAAAAAAAAAAAGTGTGCCCCTCATAGAAGGAACATACAGTAGTGAACACCTAAACTCAGAAAAGACTTGGGTCCAATCTAGGAGCAGAATACTCAGTTGAGGAGAGCCTGGTCTTCAGTAAAGCACATAGGCGAGTCACAGCAGGCTTTGCAGGCAGGGTTGTAAAAGCCAGAGCTTGAAAAGGCAACAAAAACCCACAGAAGGACAATGCAATGGGGCAGGGGTGACTGAACATATGAGATTTGTTTTCAGAGAGTGTCTCTAGCTCCCCTGTACTGGAAGAATTGAAGAGGCTCAGAAAATAGTCAGAGGAGCAAAAAGGGGCTGCTGATCAGCTAACGCAAGAAAGTGTCTAGGAAAGTCAGAGTTCTGAATGGGTTCGATGTATTTGAGGAAGTTCATGGGAACGACGCCCAGGCCTCTGGTTTGGGCTTCTGTGTGGATGGAGGTGCCATGCCCCAGGGAGCGAAGAGAAAAGGGCATCCCCTTGTCTACACAACCGCTCAGGCTCAGGCTGGCCAACGCCGCCGCAACAAGACCTGTGGGTCTGCCCCGAGGAAGATGGGGGAGCCAAGGGCAGGCGGAGTAACGCCCGCGGCCCGCGAGCTTCCAGGCCAGCCGGGGCCAGAGTGCAGCCCACCCAGCTGGCCCCACAGCCTGGTACTGAGTCGCCCTCCTCCCCGCCCGGTGGGTAATGGGTACAACCAGCACCGCGGGGCTCAGCCCGGCTGACACGTCTGGCCCGGAAGCCCCCTCGGAAGATAGGCTGCCGCCGTGGGCCACAGGTCTCGCTTGCACCCCGGTGGTCGGCGCCTTTCACCCCGCTGCTCCGGCCTCCCAGCCCTAGCCCCAGGCCCCGGGTCCGCCCGCCGACCTCTGCCCCGAGGGTCAGTCCTCCCACCCGAGGCTTCGCTCACCCAGACAATCCCCGACCCAGACGCGAAGCACTCCAGCATGAGCCTTTCCAGCTGCCGTCCCCCGGACACCTTTTCTCGGGCCGCCAGCCCCGCCCCGCCCATCCGCGCACGCGCGCCGCCTCCTCCCCGCCCACTCGGCCCCGCCCCCTGCGTGGCCTGCTTCCACGTTTGCCCCCGCGGCTGGCCGGGCGGGACCCGCCCCTAGAGGGCGACACCCTGCTGCTTGGGCCGTGGGGAGGCCCAGCGGCGCGCATGTTGCTAGGCAACCCCGGAAGCCCGAGGACGTGGCTCGACGTGGGTTGTGGACTGCAGGATCCGGATGGGGTGACCTCGCGAGCTGGCCAGCCCCGCCTTCCCTCTCCTTTGGCGTGTCTCTCGGTTCCTCTGGTCCTCCTACTGCAAACTGGGGAGAGAGAGTGTGAGAGTGTAAAACCCCATCTCCTGACCTAATGAACCAGCTAGAAAATGCCGGTGCTCGCCCTGGCTCCTGCCTTTCCTAGATTGACCTACTTGCATTTTCTCTTTGCTGCGTTCCTGAAGCCGCATCAATCTCTGCCCATTCACTCTCAAGCTCCACCAGGATTCTATGGGCGACCCCGTTCCAGAAATTGGCTGTTTTTATTTTTAGCGAGAAGGCAAAATATTTTCAAAAACGATCCTGCCCTTTACTCCTACACAAAATTGTCATTCAGCAGAGGCAGGCGGATCTCTGTGAGTTCGAGGCCAGCCTGGTCTACAAAGGGAGTCCAGGACAGACAGGCTACACAGAGAAACTGTATAGAACAACAGCAACCAAAATGTCGTTCAGTGAATGTGTATGCGCTTAGGACTGTACTTTTTTTTCAGATGCCTGTGAACTGAACTGCCACCATGAACTAGAGCTTTGCTGTAGGATTTAAATATCCAGTGTCTTTGTGTGCTTAAGTTCCAGCCAGCGCACGTGGAGAAAGAAAGTTATTATGAGAAAAGACTGAGGCCCCACGTAGACAGCAAATTTCTTTCCTCAAGCGTGATTTTTAATTGCCTGAAAATGATGTCTATGTCTACGGATTTCTGGATGAGGAAGAATAGGATGAAAACAACACTTCAATTTATGGTTTTGAGTGTTGCTATGAGTGTTCAAAATTATATAAGTGTATGATTGATGGACACAGGGAAAAATCAATTTGAGGCCGATACAGAAAGTGCTGCTTTAAACATGTATTTTGTTGCATATCTGTTCACATCTGGAAAAAAATAAATTGAAATATTTAATACAAAGCAATTTAAGATGAGCTGTTCCTAGGTGAGCTATTTCAGCATGATTACTTACACATTGACTAGACATCTAATAAATGACGAAGTCGCGTGTCCCTGACATTTTAAGCCTTTTCAGCAACAGTCTGCTGCTGCTCAACCCTGTGGCAGTCTGCAGACCCCAGACTTTTCTTCCATCAGGAGTGGAAGGCAACTAAAGTGTGATCTGTAGAATTAGAGGACAGATTGAGGGCGGGGCTTCTGTGTTCTCGCACTCAGGACTTGCTACCTTGCTACAACAGAAGGAACCCTTCAATTCCTATTTGGCGGCCCTAGTAAATTGCTGACTGACCGTACTGTGTTTTCCATCCTCCTCTGTTTTTTTCGTGAATGGAAACTCTTGGCGTCTGTTCCCACTGCAGATTGAATGTTTTTCCCTGCAGGCTTATTCACACTGTGTTAATGTACAGTATAGACAAAGAAAAACACGTGTGCAGAAAAATGTTCCAGTGGGGTAGAAGAGGTTGCTCAGTGGTTAAGAGCACTTGTTCTTGCTAATGAACTATATTCGGTTCCTGCACCCACACTGGAGCTTCACAGTGGAGTTACAACCATCTGTAACTCCAGTGCCAAGGAGCTCTGATGCTCTCCTCTGGTCTCCACTAGCACCGATGTGATACACAAACACATGTGCATTCAAAACACCTATTACATAAAAATCATAGAAATGTCTTCAACTCAATGAGTTTTCAGAAGCTGCACACATCAATGGAACCAGCACCTAGAACAAGAATTGAAACTTTATCAACACACCAGGTGTGGTGGCCCACGCCTTTAATCCCAGCACTCAGGAGGCAGAGGCAGGCAGATCCCTGAGTTCCAGGCCAGCCTGGTCTACAGAGTGAGTTCCAGGACAGCCAGGGCTACACAGAGAAACACTGACTCAAAAAAGCCAAAACAAAGCCAAATGCTATTCTTTCCAAGGGTAATTGTTATCCTGACTGCTAACACTACAGGATAATTTTACTAGTTTTTGTCTCTTAAATAAATAGAATCACACACTACATACTCTTTTGTCTATGGCTCCTTTGCTCAGATTTTTTTTTCTTTTTCTCAAGATACAGCCTTGTATATATCCCTGGCTGGCCTGGAGCTCACTGTGTAGACCCAGCTAGCCTCTAACAGAGATCCACCGGCCTTTGTTTACTAAGAGTTGGAATTAAAGGCATATGCCACATTCTCAGGTACTCAGGATAATTCTGAGATCCAGCCAGGTTGGTGTAGAGTTTAAAATCATTCCGTCTCACTTCTGAACACTATTCCATGGGGTCACTATATATTACACACTGTTGTACTACTGAGGAACACCCCAGGAAGTTTTCAATTTTCAGGTTGTTGTAAATAATTCTACTCCGAACATTGCAGAGCGTGTATGCCTTTTGTTGCAAACATGCTCACATTTGTTAGAGAAGAACTGCTGACTTGTCAGAAATGCAGATGTACATCTTTGTCAAATACAATCAAAGTGTTCCCAGGTGGTTGTGACAACATATGTGTGAGTTTTGTTATTCCACATTTTCCACAACCCTTAGTATTTCCCATCTTTTTTTTTTTTTTTTTTTTTATGTTGGCAAGGAATCTGCTCTTTAGTTTAAATTACCAGAAACCATCCCTAGGCCTGAAATAGGAATGCTGTGGTCTGAACATGGTTTGTCCCTGCAGAGCTCAGGCTGAAACTTAATTACCACTGTGGCAATATTAGGAGGGAAGGCCTTTAAAACATGTTGGATCATTAGAAAGATTAATGTCTATGGAGGATGGGTTGAAGCCTGTGGGACTGGATTAATTAACTGCAGAGAGGCTGGTACACTCATGTTCTGTTCGCTCTGCATGGGAGGTCTAACCAGGACCTCTACTTTCTGGAGTTGGAGCATCAGAAGGCCACCGATGGTCTTATACCCTTGAACTTCCCAACATCTGGAGCCATGAGCCACAATATTCTAAAGGAATAACTTTTATTCCTTTAGAAAATATCTAGACTTGGGGATTGTTTTCTTTTGTTTTTATTTGTTTTGTTTTTCGAGACAGGGTTTCTCTGTGTAGCCTTGGCTGCCCTAGACTCACTCTGTAGACCAATCTGGCCTTGAACTCACAGAGATCTGCCTGCCTCTGCCTCCCAGAGTGCTGGGATTACAGGCCTTTGCCACCTCACCTGGCTATTTGACTTGCAAATCTTATTCTAGCAACATAAAATGGCCTAAAACAAGAGGCCTGTGTTTTATAGAGAGTACCTAGACTCCCAATATAGGTAGAAGCTTAGGGTTAACTCCTTCATGGATGCCTGTTTACAAAAGAGGAGTGTACATGAATTTTAGGTAAGCAAAAAGTAGCAGCAGGGACATGCTGATTCTTTAGTGGGTAGTAGCGTAGTTTCCATTTTCAACTCCCCTTCTGTCCCACCCATCTCCACAATAGAAGCTAAATACATTAACGACCGTCCCATCTTTCCTCAGCTGTCAAAGCACCATGTGATGCAGCTCTAAGCATGACACATGGAACTTGTGAAATCTGCTTTTCTGATTGGTAAACAGTGGCATCTACAGCCCCTTCTCTTCACAGATAGGGATGGAATAGTCATCACCTCCCATGCACCAAGAAGAGCTGTGGGGACCCTCACAATGACTGGCCCAGTGCGGCTGGGCTGCCAGTGCAGTACCAGCATGGCCTCCCTGCAGCACCTCAAGAATCTCACGGTAGAAGAGGACTCTTACTTGGCTTATGACAGTTACTTGCCGTTGAATGCATTCTTAAGCAAGTCAACAGTTAAACAAGATACCTATCTAGTGTGAACTGAATTTACCAATCTCAGTTGTTGGGGGCTCAATGCAAAATTTACAGAGAGAGCATGCAATAATTTTAAAACCAGAAGGATAGCATTTATAAAAGTTCACATATGTTATGGGCTATAAAGTCTGAAGATTTGCAGGAGATGTCAAGATAGGCTAGCTAGAAGCATCGCAGGAAAGGATAAAGCAGATGAAAAAGATGCAAATTTTCTAACAAAAGTTTTAATAGGGGAAGGTCATAGAGGGTGTTTTGTAGCAAAAATTTCCTTAGAAAAACCTTTAAAGCTACCTGGTTCTGTCCTCCGTATTCTAGGGAGAGGGACTTCAAGAATTTATAGGGTGGCCCCTGATACTAGATACATATGCCAAGCCTGGTTCTGAGAAAGATAAGAGGGCATGAAAGATGAGGAGAGAGGAGGGCCTGCATGTGAATTGTGTCCTCTGGGGCAGCTCAAGTGAGCAAATCCCAGGGCTCAGGTAGTTAATGCAGAGACTCATAACTGGTCAGAGCACTGAGAATAAGTGACTACAGAGTGCTCAGCCCTAAATGGAACATCTGCTCAGGTACATCTTGGAAGAGGGGGTGGAAAGAATGTAAGAGCCAGAGGATGGAGAGGACTCTCTGGAATGTTCTCTTCCAGAGATGACATGGCCATTGCACATGTGACCTGCACATGATCCAGCCAACAAGATCAATCAACATCTAACAGAGCACTAACTGGACTCAATGAAGTACAAAAATAAAAAGAGAAATAAAGATCTGATTGAAGAAATGGAACTGTGGAGAATTCTTTGGGGGGGGCAAATAGAGAACAAGAGTAAAATATGTATTACATATTATATATAATATATATACAATTTTCACTTAAACTACATTTATACTACGTGTGTGTGTGTGTGTGTGTGTGTGTGTGTGTGTGTGTGTGTGTGTGTATAGCTTAAATTTCTTATCTGGACTGACAATGCTTCCTCCAAGAGCCAAAGACCATCTAACAAAAGCCCCAATACCAGACA